AAATATTAATTTTGTTTTAAAACTTCATCCATACATTTATTTGTGGATCACAACATTCGTGCAAAGAATATTATAATAGTATATAATTCGAAGAGAAGTTCGAAAAATATGTATTGATTTTTCTTATAAAAATAAATCATCTATTTTAATAGTTGCTATGCAAAAGTTCAAATAATTTTAAATTTAATTAAAAACCAAAGTATGCTAGTTAGCAAAGCATTTATGTAAATCTAGTAGCATTGTAATTTTACAATTTGAAATCTGTATCTTGGTTAAAAAGTTGCACTGTTAGTCATATTTAAAATTCAATGTAATCAACAGCTTTCTCGGAAAGATTTCTCTAACTAGACATGTTTTTGAAAGTCCCACAAGCTGCAAGTCGGGAACACCTTTATTAGGTTGAGCAAGTTTCTTTATCATCAACAAACTATGATAAAATGTTAATATAAAATTTTCATATATTAAGAATTTATTCCGAGTTTTGGCCTATAGTTTAAAAAACTATAACAGTTTGTATTATTATTTTTAGTTTTATGTTGTAAAGATATTACGCAAAATCTCGCTGAGTTAAAGTATATTTTTGTGTTAATTACAAAAATATATTTCACAAATTCTAAATTATAGATCCATATAACTATATTTGTTAATTTCACTTGTAAAAAGTTTTAGACAATTTCTAAAAGGTTTCGTTTAATTTGAAAAGTATTTCATTTTATTTGGAAAAGGTTTAATTTAACCTCGGGGCTAAAGGATAAAGCCAATCGGTGAATAACTTCCTTATTTTTTAAATTAGTTTGTGGTAAAAAATAGACGATTTTCAAAAAAAAAAAAACATTTCAAAGTTCCGGCATTTTGTTAATTGTTGTGCGAAGTCAATAATCCTAGTTCATACCAGAACCAGACATGTACTCTTTCTAACACCGCACTATGGCTGAAATTTGGCGGCAAAAAGTAATTTGTTCAACTTAAAATTTTTCAAAATTTTTTAATGGCATTCAGTACAAATCATACTGATAAGAAAAAATCGAGTAAAGTTTTTACTGTTGGCAACCCTGTTTATGTACAATCAACAATGTTTACATTACTTTTAGCACGCGTTATTACAATTGAAGCAGCAATATTTTCGTAAAATTAAAAGCCGTTTTTAATAACATATGTTTTGAAAAAGATCTTGATAAATATGAATGCTAATGCTCGAGTAGGGTACTTTTTACTATATAAAAATATACTTTGCTAAATGTTTGTATTTCGGACATATGTTGGTGTTTTGTGTGTGTATTTTTTTTTTTTTTTTTGTGAAATTTTGAATAGTTTTATCTTTTCCGTGGAGTAAAACTAAAGTTGTAACATAGTGTTACAGGAACTATTTATATGTGATTGTTTGTAGAAAACCCTAGTTTTATGTCATGCTAAAATTGTCGGCTAATGACTGCTAATAAACGAATTATTAACATTTTTGCAGAAAAACTCAGGATCAAAAATTACATAAAAATAAATATTCCATACGAAATTGGCAGTAAATTAAGAAAATTTATATTAATTAAAGCTTGGAATTTATCTAATTATGTAACTAAAATGGATTATACTTCACAGAAGTGAGAATAAAATATAGAAATGAAATCGGTCCTAGTTTTGAGATACGGGTCTAATGGTTCAACCGGCCACAGTTTTGTTAAACAAATATTTTTTTACTACTTCAGATAGTTTCTATCCTTCCCTACTTGTGACATCAGTCATTCCAAGAAATGGGAATCCAAAATATAAAATTATATCCAACATAGTTGAAAAAAGTACCCAAATTCCCCTTAATACCGAAATTTCGGGGGTACCATTATATGGGGACTACTTTAACAAGTCGACCAATATCGATAGTTTTTGGTAGGAAGATTTGCTACCCAATAATAACCTAAAATACATAAATACAACCTATTTGTTAAAGAAACGTGCGCAAAATCTCAAAAATTCCGAATAATGTGATATACCGTTATATTGGGGCTACCCGAAGAACTAGTCCAATATTCATAATAATAAATTTTTGGTAGGGAGATTGTCTATACACTGAAAACCCAAAATACCAAATTTCAGCCAATTCCGTTGAAAAACAAAACCAACATTGCCAAAATACCCAAAATGTGGGGGGCGTGGACCGCCCATTTTTTCTTATTTCACTTTTTCTAACATTAGAATTCTACACTCCAAATTTGGGGAAGCTAGCTTGTCTGGATATATTTTATGCCGCTAAAATCGCGATTTCAGCCATAGTGCACCGTTGGAATTTTCGGATTCCGATGTTCCAATGAGGAGTTATCATGCCCGCCATCAAAGGAGGACTTTTCTTTGATCACTTCCCTTAATCTGGAAATGATATATATTTTTGACCGACTCATGATAATTATGCACCAAATTATCAACGGTAAAATCAATAATCGATTGAAAAGTCATATCGTTTAGTAAACAATCTCTTGCGCACATATCCCTGAACATAGATTCCACTCAGTTATAGGTAGATTGAATTTTTAAATGATTTGAATATATTTGTAATTAACATATGTTTGGGTATGGGTGGCGTAGGGGATGATAGATACCAAGCAACGGCTTTGATTGGCTTTAAAAAAACTATAAAAAATAGGTTGAGGCGTCGGGTTAGTTGCCCACTTTCGGAAAACCCAACGCAAAGAAAAATAAAGCCAAACCCCCTAATGTTGACGACCCACAGTGGGAAAAATACCGATCTAGCGCTCAGAAAATAAAAAAAAATGAACTTGAAGGAAGCTTTAAAACATTAATGCACTTTTAAAGTAGAGTGTTGAGTGTACTTACGTCCGTATAAAATAATACGAATTAATAAGTTAGAACGGAATAACGGTACATTTAAAATAAATATTTTTTCCAATGTAAAAAATGGTATTTTTTCGCTATAAAATTGCGATGGTCGTGTGTATTCTGTGAATATATTATTATAGAATTTTGTCTATTTTTGATATATGGTATTGGTATTTAATTAAATGGAATAGATCACAACATAGCACATAAGAAAAAAGTTAAAAATGTCCGTGCTAAGGTTCCAGAGTAATGGGTGTGAATATGAAAATGAGCTGCTGCTCCAAACAGCGATTTTAAACTCATGCACTGAATATACATATATATTTCTTATATATCTTACTAAGGAACAAATTTGAAATATTCTAAATACAAAAATAGACGATCCAGACATAGAGATGGAACACATCTTCCATTTAACAATGATCGGCGGCAAGGTATTTAGTGCTATATCCCAATCATGTGGAATTTGCGATGCAACACCAAAAGTAATGAATGATTACAACAAAATTTCGTCATTAACACCAAACATCAACTTATAGGAATACGGCCTTTCTACCTTACATGCAAGGATTCGATGTTTAGAATGTATATTGCTCATTTCATACCGACTGGTTTTGAAAAAGTGGAAAATTAATAGCTCCGATCGGCCACTTTTCGGAGAAAGGAAGGCACGTATCATTAATGATTTGAAGGAAGAAATGCATATTATTGTTGACACACCTAAGTCAGTATCCGGAACAACAAACGATGGCAATACTGCTAGGCGTTTTTTAGCCAACCTGGCTTGGCATCGTCGATAACTGGTGTTGATGAAAAATTAATTAAAAATTTTAGTATCATCCCTTCAACCATGGCCTGTGGATATGCTATTAACGCAGAGTCATTTAAAAAATGTACTGAGGAAACATTTATTTTTTTCGTGGAATTATATCCTTGGTTCTATATGCCTTCAAGCATACACAAAATATTAGTGCATGGAGCTGATATAATTAACTGTGCAGCTTTGCCCATAGGAATGTTGTCTGAAGAAGCCATGGAATCCAGAAATAAGAACTTTCGGAACTACAGGGAACTGTACACCAGAAAAATTAGTCGTGAGGAAACAATGAGGAATCTTTTCAATAGGTTGCTATTTTCTTTTGATCCAAAAATATCAAGTTTGTCTCGTAGTACATCTCTTAACCATCGATATAGTGAGCCACTATCTGAAGAAGTCCTTAAACTACTGAATGTTTTAGATATATAATATTAATAATAATAATAAAGATACATATAATAACAATAGTGTTTGCCGTTAACCCACTTTTTACCCTCCAAATGTTTCGTAATTTTTAAAAGAAGCTCCCATTTTAGGAGTACTATTAGTTATAACGAAAAATTTTGCTTATTAAAAAATGTTTAAAAAACTTCAAAATAGTAATTTTCCCCCTAAAAATTTAAGTTTTTTTCTAAAAAAAAAAATTCAGCGCTTAGTGGGTTAATAAAAAAAATTGCCAAATTTTTTCATAAAGTAATTAAAATTGTCCATCTAAATCTATTCTTATCCAAAATATCGATGAACATACAGTAGAACATCTACTTTTATTTTCTGCGCGCTAGATCTGCATTTTTCCCATTGTGCGACCCCCGCAAACGTATAAAGGACCACGAGGTTCAATATTGCAAAGAATTATGTTGAAAATATTTGATGTATGCGATCAAGATCGGTATGTTTTGGATTTTCGGTAAATGTTTATCAAAATGAATATAAATTGAAAAACAAATCGAAAATGCCAAAAATTATTCCCTAACAATATTGCTGTGCCAAGACAACGTTTGCGGGTCAGCTTGATATTTATATTTATGTGATCTTCCGAACGTAGAATAATATCATAATTATTGCACACCACTATGCAACTCTCAGATCCAAAACGTGTGTTTTCTAAACATGAAGTTAGGGAAAATATACCCATTAATAATGTTCCTAAATTAACATCTTTGGTACCTATCATAAATTATATTATGTTGTAGTGAAATGCAGTTCAGATGTTATATACCTATATATCGTTTCTATTATGTCCATGTAAAAGTGACACCTTTATTAGGAAAACAAATATAACATAATTATAGAATATCCGGCTTTCCAATCGGACAAAATGTGCGTTGCCACTGTATATATACGTGTATATTAATCTCACCTGCCATCTCCCGAAACTAGTAATGAGTTTAGAAAACGATCTTCGCCAGCTTTGAATGTGGTTACGCAATCTCCAGACTCTAGATTCATTAAATTCACATACATTCTGTTTCGTGATAGACACACAAGATGATTTTGATCATGGAGGCCAAAATACGGCATTTTTTGATTCATTACACCTTTCAACGTAACCTGAAAAAAAGTTATATCTTTGAAAAATTATTTAAAATTTTAATATTATTTAAATCAAAGTCAGAAAATGTTGTAACTTAATTTTTTTTAATATTTCTGCAAAAAATATTACATTACGACTTAGAATTAAGCAGAAAAATATTGAGAAACCAAATAAAACAGAAACTCAATTAGAATAGATATTGTTAAAAAACATTGAAATATGTTTAAGTTTTATTGTAAATATAATGAAATAAGTGCGCATTTTTTATATAAATGAAACTAGCATACACCCGCTACTTCGTTAGCGGAAAACAAATATTTCCGAACCTCCAATTTTATACATCGGATAAAAAATAAATACATCTATTTCTATAAATGATGTCATATTCTATTGTAGAATACATTTAAAAACGTTTTATGATGTTGTACATACATTATTATTCATCCTTATCGCTTTATATCGGCTACATATAGTAACAAAAAATATGCCATCTAATCTAATAATTCAGTGTACACTCGTTTCTTTATCAAAGACATGACCACATTCAAAGAATATTGAGCTTCCGATGTATCAATGTAAGTAGTAATCTCAATGATACAAATTGTAATGTCTTTGAATACCGCTTGTGTATTTTTTAAAAATTAAAAAATACAAATACCATAATACATTTGTACAATATTTACTACTTTTTAGAACTATTATCTAAAACATCGCAAAGTATAATTTCAAACCCCTCTATCATTAAATTTAAATTTTCTAAAACAAAACTAAATACACAATTTAAAGTACTTTTTAAATTTATCAATACCAATATTACCTTTATAATGTTTTAGTAAGAATTTCAAAAAAAATCTATCTGTATATTACACGGTACGGTATAATCTCCTGCAACTTCAATACACTTAGTTCAACGCTTTTCTAGCAATTATATCCTTTGATTAAAATAGTTTGCCTCAAGGTCTTTAAAATAGTGGTTTACAACTGTAATTGCATCTTCATTTGAGGTATACTTTGAAATGAATTCTTTACACTTACATTTTCATAGTGTGGTAAATTATGGTTCCATCACAATTCCTCTTTTCAAATACTAAAATGTTCGCTGGGATGTCAATAGCTATTTTTAGCATAATATTTTTCGAAGATTCTAAACTTTGTATCTAGACATGAATCTTTTTTTTTTTTTTTTTTTTTGGTGCCGATGTGTCTCGGATAACACCTGTTACATTCACTGCTTTGTCTCATATGGACTGTTTAGCGAGCCATCCACATAAATTGGTGTAGCTCAGAGATAACATCTCGGCCTTGCAGTCGTAAGGACCAGAGTTTCTTTTTCTTCTTTCTTTTTATTTTAACTATTTTTTTTTTCTATTATATCGTTGATGGAGACTTAGAATCAGCTAATAATTTCTATGTATTAGTGAGAATGCACTCAAATGTGTTCTAAAACATACTTAGCTCTTCTTTAATTGACTTATGTACCTTTGCTTAGTGGTGAACAATGATTAGGTTGCTTTACGATAGTTTCATTATGCTGCTAACAAATCTCTTCTTTCTTTCCGTTGCTGACTTCAACCAGATAACACACGCATATCAACGAAAAAAATATTTCATTACCAAAAAAGTTTAAAGTTAGAAATTGTAAATCCAAGTAAATTGTATCCGAAAAAATCGGCAAAATCGTTAATGCAAATTAACTCTTTGAAAAATAAAACGATTTCCCGCATAAAAATTAAACGACTATTTATTCAATTTTGTGGACATTTTTTTTTTTTTTAAATTTGCAACATATCATTAAACGGCAAAACTGACAAATATCCACAGTAACGAAAATTTCTCTTCAAACAAGCCAAAAGATTTCCATAAGGTAAGAAGTGAAATTCCATTTATTCGCAAGATTTGTGATAGAAAAGTGTTTCTTTCTTGTCCCCCAGAATACCGTCAATACCACCTTTACGGCAACATTCAAGTTGACCGTAGGTGAGGAAGACAGTTTGCTGTAAAATCCCCATTGATCTGCCTAAATAATTTGAAAAAATATTGGCTTGGATATCTAAGAAATTTGTTTGTCATCACTGAATTACAGACATAAAATTGTCATTTGAATATTACAACGATAATGAAATGTTAATATTGTGAAGATAGAAGGTGTGAAAAAAATACTAATCGCCATCAACATTTTCCACAAAATCCTCCACTGTGCGAGACAGCACCTGTCAAGCCAGACACGCACCAGACACCCTCGTAATTTGATTTACGATATTACGTGCCAAAAATAGAATTGCAACATATATGCGTCTCGCTTGCACATTGCACCCCACCGAACAGCATTAGAAAGATCGAACGGCTTGATCGTGTGCAAAAGTATTGGTTAAGCGGCAAGCTGGACAACAAATCAGTAGCCTAGATTGCAAGAGGGCACTGCTATCAACCATAAGGTCGCGGGTTCGACCCCCCGACACCGGCAAAATCGTCATATTTATTAAATTTAAAACTTAGAACTTACCAAAACAAAATGTATCCCCGCAAGTAATAACTTATTCATAAAAATTGATCAACCAAAACCCCCCCTAAACATATGCAAACATTTACCTTAACATGTTAAAATTCCTTACAGTTCCTTACATCATCACACACATATACACCAGTTCATCGAGGCCTCCGACGATCAGCGTAAATATGTGGATGTTTGAAAAATCTCAAGGATCAGAAAATATACATCCTTTGAAAAGTACAAAAACAAAACAGAGTGAGTTAAAACAAGTGAAAAAGCGTTAAGTTCGGCCGGGTCGAACTTTGGATATACTGACAGGTACTAGAAATGGGAATATAGGGAACATGCCAAAAAGTGGACCTATACTGACATTTCTATGTAAACTATAATACACTTTTCAGAAATTTTTAATGGATAATTATACCCTCAGCCTTATGGCTAATTAGTGTGTATACACTTTCACACGGTGAAAATGTGCCTCATCGAAATATTGGTTCTAGAACCCATGTTTCTTTGGACCAAATCCGTTTCAGAAAATTTACATTTCATCCAAACTTTGCCAATCTTATTATTTCTTCCAAACATAGTTCAAATTCGAAGATGGGGAATATCAGTCCACTCCTTCTGGTACCTCCCACACAGGGGCTAGGTTTAAATACGGGTTATAATTCATATATAGTTCATTATCGAACTTTACGTTCTAGTTTTTTATCTCGATGTCCTCCACAGGTGATATAGTTACAACAGAGTCTTAGAACCAAACCCAAAACGCGGAACAAATTGCATAACTATTTTAATATAAAAAAGGGGTTATATGGGGACTACCCCAAAAAGGGGGTGCATATTAAAAATTTTTTGTAGAGAAATTTGTTACCATATTCGACCAAAAAAAATACCAAATTTCAGCGAATTCGGTTGAAAAACGTGCTCAAGAACCTCAAAATAGCGAAAATTGGGGGTACACTTATATAAGGGCTACCAGAAAAATTGGACCTATATTTATAATTTTTGGTGGAGATATTTGGCACCCAATAGGAACCAAATGTACCAAATTTCAGCGAAATCGGTTGAAAAACGCGCTCAAGAACCCCAAAATACCGACATTTGGGGGATACCCTTATATGGGGGCTATCCGAAAAAATGGACCTATATTCATAATTTTTTGTGCAGAGATTTGGTATCTATTAAGAACTCAAAATACTAAATTACAGCTAATTCGGCGGAAAAATACGTTCAAAACCCCCAAAATACTGAAAATTAGGAGGTACCGTTATATGGGGGCTACCAGAAAAGTGGGCCTATACTTATAAATTTTTGTGGAGACATTTAGTACCCAATAAGAACCCAATCTACCAAATTTCAGCGAATTCGGCTGAAAACGCGCTCAAGAACCCCAAAATACCGAAAATTGGGGGTACCCTTACATGGGGCTACCCGAAAAAATAGACCTATGTTCATATTTTTTTGTGGAGAGAATTGGTTCCTATTAAGAACTCAAAATACAAAATTACAGCCAATTCGGTGGAAAAATATGACCAAAACCCCCAAAATACTGAAAAATAGGAGGTACCGTTATATGGGGGCTACCAGAAAAAGTGGACCCATACTTATAATTTTTTGTGGGGACACTTAGTACCCAATAAGAACCCAATGTACCAAATTTCAGCGAATTCGGATGAAAAACGCGCTCAAGAACCCCAAAATACCGAAATTTAGCGGGTAACCTTATATGGGAGCTATGACTAAACGTGGACCGATATATCCCATCTTCGAACTTGACCTGCCTGCAGACAAAAGACAACCCTATGCAAAATTTCAGCACCCTATCTCAATTCCTTCAGAAGATAGCGTGATTATAACAGACGGACGGACGGACATGGCTAGATCGTCTTAGAAATTTACCCTGATCAAGAATATATATATACTTTATAAGGTCGGAAATGAATATATCGATGAGTTACAAACGGAATGACAAAATTAATATACCCTCCATACTATGGTGGAGGGTATAAAAATTAAGACATAAAATATTTGCATATGTAGGGTTTAATAATGTAATGTAGTTGTTAAAATATGAAAAAAGAGTCCTTATATGAAAATAATTATCCTTTAGGAAAAGGAGTTAAAAAAAGGAATGAAATAGTAAAAAAATCCATTTTTTCTAATATCAATTTTTGAATTCTTTAAATCTTAAATTAAATCTCTTATATATATTATGTATTTTTTTCTTATTCATCCATATTTAATTTAAATTCTAAATTCGTACTCCTTTAGCTTTACTGAGAAATATGTAAAAATCCAATTTTGCCCTTAACATTTTCATTTCATAAATTAATGAAAGATTTTCGATGTATTTTTATTTTGTTTTGTTAATTTGCGAATTTCAATAAAAGCCTAATTCCCTCTTGTATAGTTCTCAGTAAATTATCTAAATGGTCATGAATTAAACCCTTGAAATTTAATATAAAATTTATAATGATAAAAAAAAATTTCCCCAAACGAGTTTGAACATTACAATAGTGAGAG